CTCAAAAAAAACCACCCGACCCCCCCCCCCCCCCCAATGTATTTCCAAACAAAATTCCACATAGCACTCCAAGATAGCAAATATCCATGATTTCATAGTATCAGAAAACCGCCTCCATTGAAATTGCATAAAACCCTTGTCATTTTACTGAACACATCTGACGCTACGATACAAGTCTCGGGTAATTTCACTAAGGATCATGCGCAAAAGTGTAAAGAAGACGAAAATGCATTCCAAAACTAAAAGAAAATCCACCCCCAAAAGTTTGCCATCCACGATAAGACATTAGATAAAGAACAACAGACCATGTATATGTATCTCTCAAAAGGTTATACACAAATAGGTACAATCAAAACACAGATTCTAAATATTCAATTAAAAAGAACACTGATGGAATAAACTTTCCGAATCGATTTCTACAGGGATCGTAAAACGAGATCTCCGCAAGTCCAAATTTCTGCTGAAAACAAAATCAAGTGCGATCATTTCCTGTTTAGGATATCAGAGAAACTTGGAGTGACTATGCAGATCGAAGAGGAAACAAAACAGAGAGATCCCAACCGGCCATAAAAGAGGAATCTTTCTCGAGATAATCCAACCCACGAGAAGAATTGGCAAGAATCATCTATTAAGGACTAATAATATACGCATCAATTCAAAAGTGAGAGAAAATTTACCTGATTGCTACGATTAGGGTTTCGAGAATTCGACAATCGCAGGAGATGAAGAAACAAAACCCTTAAATTCGGATAAGAGCAACTTATGAGACCTGAGGAAAAAAGACCTCTAAATGAGCTTCTTTATTTTTTTTTAATTAGAGTTTTTTCTACTATATTCTTTTATATTTATTACTTTTCGTTTATTTTACGATATTTTATTTTCTAATTTTTAATTCATAAAATCTTATTATGAATCATCTTACCATATCCACGACTAAAGATACTAAAAACATAAACTACTAAAATATTTTCATATGATATATAATCTCTATATTAGGCTATTAATATATTATGATCTCAAATAACTCCAATGACTAAAGTTTAAGTGGAGTGGTATAACTGAATTTTGAATATTATAATCTCTTGCATCGAATTACCGGTTTGATTTAAACCATCAATTCGTTATGGACCGTCTATATTTTACATTGAGTAAACTAAAAATTAAATAAAGGACGTCATCTGATTCATCACCATACAGAGAGAATCAGATGACGTTAATTTGTTAATTTTTTTTTGAAAAATAAATCTAATTGATTTTTAGTATTCAATTCAAATACGATGATATTTTTATTGTATACTCATAGGAGATATCGATCTTTATAACTGAATTTAATTATTTTTAACGAATATTTTATAGGGTGAGGCAAAACGCCAAAAAAAATGTATAACGTCGGTGTCCTTCGTTGGCTCACAAAAAAAAAAAGTAACAAGGGTGCGAAAGCTATTTTTTTATTTGCATGTGTTCCTTTATAAATAAATAAAAGAATCTTGTTTTTGGGCTAGTTGCTTCGTTCATAAGCAATGTTAAGGTTGTTTTCTTCTAGTTAGATTTATTGTGTAAATATCTTGAGAGAATACGATAAAGACAAATCATATAAAAGATAAAGGATGAATCTGAGTAGATTTGGATGTGTGCATATAAAATGAGTATGAAAGAGGTTGTAAAAATATAAAGCTTAAGATATTATCATTCAGAGATTTAGAGAGTATAAAAATTTTTGTTCTTTATCTTTTTATTTTTTATTTCTGTTGAGTGAGAATGTTTTGAGGGAATTTCACAATAGTAATCTGAACAAACCCAGAACGTGAGAATGAGGATTCACACGGGTTGTATGTTGAATCAGTAGATTTCGTGTCATAGAGTGTCTAACACTCAAGGGGAGTGTGGTACGTTTGGTTTTTACTACAACTATCTCTATGTTTTAGTAGTCAGATTTTTTTGAACGAAAAGAACTGATTTCAAATGATATCTGAGTGAGTCAGTTATTTCAAACAATAAATTCATATTTCTAATTTTATGATATTTTTTTTATATTGGTTGATGTCCATGAGATGGGTCGGTAATCTAGATAGCATATGAAAAAATGTCATAAAATATTTTATGACATTAATAATGTGTTGTGCTCGCTTCTTTATAAATAGCATACGAAAAAAAAACATTTTTAGGTTCTTTTATGATTAATTTAATCTATAATCTTTAATATATCGGTTTGACTTAAATTTTATATCCACTCATTTTTTATAATTTATTTTTAAACTTATCTTTATTCGAATGGTCTGTTCGTGAATTCGAATTGTAAAATAAAAATAAAAATCGCCTACTGAATGAAATGATTGTATTAAATACTTTGATCATTTTAGGAAAAAGCGGCCTTATTTGCCCAAAATGTATATGAAGTAAATAATGGAAAAGCACAGCAAAATTGGAATTATCTTTTTTTAATATAAACTAAAAAAATATTATCTTTGCAATAAAAAGTGCCCTTTTGTTATACATAACACATTTATCTAGATACTTGATATGAATAATTCCATGGACTATGAAAATAAAAGAACCGCCGGGTTACAACTATGACCTTTAGAAATATTTCCTTCGTGTTTAATTCGATTTGAAGACTTGCTATTCACATAACAATGGATGCGTTTATTCTATAATGGCATGTTTTAAGATCCGATTCAATACATCATCATGACGTCATGCACATGAAAAGTTCGAGATTCGCATCTCGATCCCCCCCCTTTTTTTTATCACATTGCCTTTTCCAATAATCTTTGAGAGAAAGAGTTGATTAGACGTAAACTTGTAATTAAAATCAATTAACTAGCGTTAGCTGGGAGGTAACCATCAAGTATATAATTAGCTAGTAATCCTTCGTGTTTAATTACCGAAAAGCCCACTGTTATATAAAAAAAAAAAGATCTTCACACATACATACATGCATGCATATATATATATATATAACCACATTGAATAGAACCCGGTACATTTTTGTACTACTTTCCAAAAATAAATTATATGCGTGTTGAAATTCGATACACAAACTTCATTTAAAAGTTGAAATTTCAAACCCTTATAACAATACATGTAGCAAAGAACTACTGGAATGCAACATGTACACACAACTATATATATATATATGTGTGTGTGTAATGTGCAGTTAAATATTAATTAATCTCACAAACACGATCAAATTATAAGTAAACATCGACATATATGAAATGTGAAATAAACGTGAGTTATATCACATTGAAATTTGGGTTTTCTAACCCTTTTATCAATTAACAATATTTAATCTCACGTGTAAAACTCAGTTTCATACAAATAAATAGGTTAATTAAGCTGATTCTAAATATGCATATTTAGAGGTAAACTATATTAATCTGAAAATCAAGATGAAAATGATATGGGGATTATTACAAAAGCAACTGAGTATACTCTATATCCATTTACGTATATATATATATATATCGATCTAGAGTAGAACATCATATGATCATTGCTAAATTAATTAAAAAAACCTTAATTATTTAGTTATAAACGAGACCCTCCTCTTTCGTTAGTCTTTAATTATTTTTTTTGGTAAAAGTTAGTCTTTAAATTTTTGCTTCACGTTTTAAGACTATCTTCATGAATTGAAACCAACTTTAACTCAAAAGAATTGATTGATGGCCACGTGTTTAATCAGAATTCATCTCTTTATGTCCTTATCAAATCATCAGCAATACAAGATATTTCTACGTTTGCTTCATTTGATGGCAACCACGATTTTGTTTTTTGTTGACAATTTAAAGGATCATCCCATTTTTATTATACTTTATATTTTCTTTAATATACATAACATGTGTGTGTGTGTGTGTGTGTATATATGAAATTACACACATACTTATACGACGTACAATACGTAGCACATGTATATATGTATATGGATGTGTGTATGTTCTACAGTAGAATCAGACTCGGGATCCGTATCGTTTATTACGGCGTCTATTCTATTCTTCTAATTTGCTAAATGCTATGCAAGTTCTGTCCACATTATGGAATACTCCATGGACCCAACGAATAAGGAGAGAGAGAGAGAGAGAGAGAGAGAGAGAGAGAGAGAGAGAGAGAGAGAGAGAGAGACTCCATGATCACTTTTTAAAAGATATTTTTCCCCTTAAAAGGATAGGGCAGAATTTCAGTTTTTGAAAACAGTAAAAGGAGACAACAATATGTGTGATGAGATTAAGTATACACACGCAGTATATATGGAGTTTTATTACAAGATGTGGCAAACGAAAAGCGTGGCTGAAAGACACTGGGGGATCTTAAAATCTTTCTACTTTAATATATATTATTTATGATAATAGTAAACAGTGAATAAAAAGTCGAATCTTCAATTATGAAATTCTTTAAAAAAAAAAAAAAGATGTGGACCGCCGGAGGGTAGAGCTCAAATTAACACGTGCTTAAATTAATTACGTTTCCCTTCTAGTTTACAGTTATTATTATACATACAGATATCTGTAACATTCATTTAACAGGAAAAAAAACTTCTATAATGTTTGAGAACAAAAAAAATGTTACAATTCATACATCAAATAATAAAACCCTAACATTCTCACCATATACATAGTTAGAACTCATGCAGCACGTGAACCGATTTACATTTTTCTTTGCTTGTATGATGAAAATATATGTTCATATATATATATATATATAGACGGGTTAGGAGGATGGCATCCGCATGGACCGCATGAGTGGCACGTGCACAAAGAGAAGAGGTCGTGAAGTGTAATTCTCTTATAAGCCACACAGCCCTCGCTGAGAAGACACTTGTGTGCACCCACCCGCCTTCCCCTCATTTCCCATCACTCTTGCTATAATTGTTATTTTCTTTTTTTATTTTCAATTATTTCATCATATTTTATTACTATATATGGTTATTGCGGTTTTTTTTTAATAAAAATAATAATAATTATAGTGGGTACGCATCATCTGGTGAATGAAGAAAGACCAACCGCTGGTGTACACTGCGGTTTCAGGGTTAGTGATATTATAATTAACGTGAAAGTGTGTGTGTGGGAGTTCTTGTCTTCCTCGTCTTGCTTCTTCAAGAGATCTCCCATTTCTCCGCCATATAAAGCGTTCATATACATATACATATATATATATATATATAGAGAGAGAGAGAGAGAGAGAGAGAAATGGGGCATCACTCATGCTGCAACAAGCAGAAGGTGAAGCGAGGCCTGTGGTCTCCTGAGGAAGACGAGAAGCTCATCAACTACATCACCACTAATGGCCATGGATGCTGGAGCTCTGTTCCCAAGCATGCAGGCACCACATCCACAACTCTCTCTCTCTCTCTCTCTCTATATATATATATATATATGTAAATTCTTGAATTCTATTGTTCTACATTTTCTTGATTCTTTATTCTTCTTCATTTCTTATCTTTGGTGGTTACGATTATTAAGGTCTCCAAAGATGCGGGAAGAGCTGCAGATTGAGATGGATTAATTATCTCAGACCCGATCTTAAACGTGGAAGCTTCTCTCCCCAAGAGGCTGCCCTTATAATTGAACTCCATAGCATTCTTGGTAACAGGTTTGTATATACAATATATATATATATATATATATATATTATATTTCCACATTACATATATATCTACATTTTTATGTTATTTCGATTACAGAATCTTAAGATCTAAGTGATATAAAGTATGATATGATGATTCATATATACAGATGGGCTCAGATTGCCAAACACCTGCCGGGGAGAACAGACAATGAAGTGAAGAACTTCTGGAACTCGAGCATTAAGAAGAAGCACCATCATACCTCTTCCATGGCGAGCTTCTTCACCAACCTTCCTCTTCCTCATCATCATCATAATGTGTTCATTAACAATGTCGATAACCAGCATGACTGCATTGGAGAAGAAGCTTCTAGGTTTTTCTCCCTCCTCACAAACACAAACCCTAGTTTCATCACTCCGAACCATACTACTGATCATCATCTCTATTTTCCTTCTCCTGATGATATCACCCAAATCACATTCCAAAGCTTTGGCCGTGGAGATTCAAAGTGTAACAACACAAACCAAGCCCAGAGCCTTTACAATCCTGGTAATCTGGTTATCGCACCAACAAATCATCAAACTTTACTCCATTCTGCAGCTCCTCAAACAACCCTTCCCGATTCAGATTCGCCTTCCGCCTTCGATCCTGGTCAGCCCGAATGGCCATTGCCGGATTTTCCAGCCTCCATTTCTACCACTTTCCGGGAAACCCGAGTTCCCGAAACCTTTCAAGATTATGTCGGTCACGACGACAAGCTCATTTTCGACCCGGTCGTCTCCATAATAACACCATACCCACATGACACACAAGTGCCTGGAGATCATGATCATCATCACCATCTTCGTCAAGTGGATCCATACATTGACTCTATGATCATGCCGTCATTGCCATCCTCGTCATCCTCCTCCTCCTCGCCGATCTCGGGCGGACAGCACGTGGCTACTGCTGCTGCTGTTACGACTACTACTACTGCAATGTCTACATGGGATCCCTAGACATGGATTAAAAAGAAAAATAATATATAGAATTGTAATATATATGTATATGTGTGTGTGGGGGAAAAAGAAATATAAATAGTCATCAGTATGTGTTGATTAATATTTTACCATATAATGACATTTATATAAAATAAGGATTGGTATATGTTCACTGAACATTTGCGAAAGATTTGCATTCAATTGTTGGTGAGGAAAACCTAAACGTTACTAGTTCAGGTTCGTTGCGTGAGTAATTAAGGGCTATCGAAAAGTTCGTCAATAACTATATACACACATATATATATATATATATTCTTTTGTCATTATACAATACCCCATAGATACATACAATATATGTACATATGCATATATGGGTGTCGTGTTTGTATATATAGTCAGTTTGTTTTGTGACTACTCTATAATATTCCGCATCTTTTTAACAAAAAAAAATATTCCGCATCTTTGATTTGTCGCTTATGGCTCTCTCAGTATCTCTTGAAAATAAATGTGTCTCATTTTCCAATTAAATTAAATGCATCGTGTGTATGTATACATTATATATATATATATATATATATATATATATATATTATTTCCTGGGTGGTGACACAGAACCAAATCGTGCATTCGTTTCCGGAACCGAACTTATCTAAAAATGAGATCGCATCGTCCATCTTTTATGGAAAGATGATGGGCCGAAAATTGGGCCCACCAAGAGCCTATTAGCCGATTCTTTTGTCAGGCCCATATATTTTTGGCCCACGTATCAATCTATCCACTAAATAAAACCCTCACAATTATGGATATAATATAATCCTTTTTTTTCACTAACTCAATGCTAAAACAACTAGATTTTTTATTATTATATTAAATCAGCATCCCATCTTTGACATAATATTAACATCTTTTACCAACATTGACATATACAAGAACAAGAGGTAAATTTAAACGTTCCGACATGTGTTCTAAACATAAAATCATATAGATTTTCGCAGTCATTTGGAAATATAAATTCTATATTGTATTATATAGTAGAAAACACTTCAGTAACAACAAAAAATGCATTATAAAATTTATCAATCAATATTTCAAACATAACATTTTTTTTAATCATATGTAATGCATTATAAAATTTATCAATCGTAGTTTTTCTTAAATCATATCTAATTGTATTTTTTTTTAGGTCAAAAGATGGATAATTTTTCCAGCTCTTTTGAGATGAAATTGGATCCAGAGGGGGAAAAGGAAGGAAAGTTCTCTCTTTTATGTTCTACCGAAAATCAGAAATCAAACCCAATTAAATAAAGCGAAAAAAGTCGGCATTTTTTGAAAAAGAAACCATTCCTGTTTGGATTCTCTTCTTCGTAGAGAGCTTTGATCTCAGTCGAGCACGGTTTCTGAAGGAGATACGTCGTAGTCTGATATTTCCTCTGATCTCTCTCTATCTCTCCTCCTCGCATTTTGGAATTCATTCCTCCGTCCATCCCCCCGTTGCCGGACAAAAAATGGGTATTTTGATCCTTTCTCGGATTCTCCGGCCTTAAATGCGTCTAATCTCGTGGATCCGGTTTTTTCTTTGATCTGATCAGTTTCTGTCGTGTCTGCACGTTATCGGTTATGTTTTGGGCCTTTTTTTTTAATATTCTGATTTGGGTCTCGATCGGTCTGTTGAGAATTCTGTTTCAGCTCATCGGATGGTAGGTGAAAGATTTAATTGCTCCGTGTTCATTTGGCCGAATATGAGTGCGAGGGTTTTTTGGATGTTGATTCGTTCAGTTCAGTTCCTAGGAAAATGCGAGGAACTATTACAGCAAAATCCGAAGCGTGTCTGGTTTTCTCCGGATTAACGTCTGTTTGGTTGCTGAGAAAATGAAAGAAAGTGGTAGAAAGTCCAAAAGCAGGCTTTTATGGATTAGCAGCTTGAACAAATTCTGGAACCATGTGTCTCATTTAGTTTCAATTTATTTTGACATTTCCGGAAGCTAAACACATCCGAAATGGGTGTAGATAAGATCTGATTGAGTAGCAACACTAGAAGAACTTCAAGATTCTTGCTTTCTTTGGACACCATCATGAATGCCTCTTGCATTGCTAATGCATGATTATGATTGGTCTTCTTTACTTCCTTGAAAATACAGATAGCTGCTCTACTCAGCTTATTGATGGAGATGGTACCTTCAATGTTACTGGGCTTGATCATTTCATCAAGGATGTTAAACTGGCAGAATGTGGTCTTTCATATGCCGTTGTCTCGATTATGGGTCCACAAAGCAGCGGTCTGTGTTCTGTCCTTAAATGTGAAAATCTCATTTGAAATTTTGTTTCTTTTGGATGACCCATGTCCATTCTTTTTTATTTTTTTAATGTTGCAGGAAAGAGCACATTGTTGAACAATTTGTTCGGAACAAACTTCAGGGAAATGGACGCATTTAAAGGAAGGCATGTTTTGTTCTTTGTATAATTTTCCGTCACAACACATTGCATAGCTTCTGATTTAAGATTCTTTAACAGCTATAATCCCATATTTTCAGGTCTCAGACGACTAAGGGGATTTGGCTTGCAAGATGCACTGGAATTGAGCCCTGCACTCTTGTGATGGATTTAGAGGGTACTGATGGAAGAGAGCGTGGAGAGGTATTTAGCCCTTCTTCCTCCCTTCTCTCACTCGTTCTTTTCTGTTTTCCACATCACTAACGAGTGACCTATTTATTTCTTTTAGACCTGTTCCTGACTAATTTCCATTGTGCTGATTAAAGCCTTTAAGATTACCGATTTGGCTTCATGTATTGCTTTACTTTTTTAGTTTGCTTAAATGTATATTTTGTCCTTAAAAGGAATGTGTGAATGCAGACTTACACACTTACTGACATCTGCCTTATCTATGGCCGTTAGGATGATACGGCTTTTGAGAAACAGAGTGCTCTTTTCGCACTTGCTGTCTCAGACATAGTTCTTATAAACATGTAAGCATCTCCACAAGCACCTTTGTTTCCTCTGGTATTAATGCACTGTGCCACGCTTCTCTCTCTCTGTTAAAAAATCCATTTTAAGTGTTCCCTGGATTCACAATGCAGGTGGTGTCATGATATTGGTCGTGAACAAGCAGCGAACAAGCCTCTTTTAAAGACTGTTTTCCAAGTAAGTGTTTTTGTCTGTTAGTTCTTACTTATCAGGAAGCTGATATCTGTTCTGAAGCTCTGGCTTGTTACTTCTTATCAACTTGTGGACAGGTCATGATGCGGTTGTTTAGTCCACGGAAAACCACTTTAATGTTTGTCATACGAGATAAAACACGGGTATGACTTTTGTTCTCCATTTGATTGCTTGTGACAACTTGATATGTTTGGCATAATTTCTTTATTTTTTCTCTATTATTCTGCTCCCTTTTCATCACTTGTAACTATTTTTATGCGATGTTGGTGTTGTTAATTCCGTAATTTTTGCAGACTCCTTTGGAGAATTTAGAACCTGTTCTGAGGGAAGACATTCAGAAGGTTAAAGAAAAAAACAATAGTTTTTTTTTTTTGGTATAAAACAATAGTTTCTTTGCATGATTTTGTTTTGCAAGTGCTATCTCTTACGTTGTCTCATGATTTTGTTTTGCAAGTGCTATCTCTTACGTTGTCTCTTTAACGCAGATATGGGATTCTGTTCCTAAGCCTCAAGCACACAAAGACACCCCACTAAGTGAATTTTTCAATGTACGATAGCCTGATTTAACATTGGGCTTAGAATTTGGTATCATTCTTCTGTTGTTTGGATTGAAAAAATAGTCTTGTTTCCTTGGTGCAGGTTGAAGTAGTCGCTCTCTCTAGTTATGAAGAAAAGGAAGAGCAATTCAAAGAGCAGGTAAATTAGCTATCATCATTAGTTTTGGGTTTCCCAGTGTATTTCCTTCCTTGAGGCAGATGACTTTGTAGGTTAAATTAATGCTTGACCTGTAATATTGTTGCTGTGATTGAAGGTTGCTAATTTGAGACAACGGTTCTTCCACTCTGTTGCACCTGGGGGACTTGCTGGTGACCGACGGGGAGTAGTCCCTGCTTCGGGTTTTGCTTTTAGTTCAGAACAAATCTGGCGGGTCATTAAAGAGAACAAAGACTTGGACCTTCCGGCTCACAAGGTGACTTTAGTAGCATAAGGTTCTCATCCATGCTCTACGTTTTCATGTTTTCCCTTGTTTTTCATGAGCTGCCTTTTTGTAGGTCATGGTTGCAACTGTACGGTGTGAGGAAATTGCCAACGAAAAGTTTTCTCATTTCACCGCAAACGAGGTAATTATTCTTCTAGATGCTTAAAATTTTGTTATGCTTTCAACACCTATTCTCTAAACTTCTTAAAATTTTCTTTAGGAATGGCGTCAGCTAGAAGAAGCTGTGCAGTCCACTCCTGTTTCCGGGTTTGGAAAGAAGCTGAGTTCAATTCTCGAGTCTTGCTTGTCAGAGTAAGAATATTCTACAATATATTTATTTCATGTAAACATTTTCCGGGTCACGACTCATAAGCACTCCGCTGCATCATCTGCATCCTTATGCATATAATCTTATCTCTAATAGTTTCTTCATTATGGATTTGGTAATTTGGATTTGATTCCAGTCCAATAATCTCTCATATTTATAAGGTATGACACTGAAGCCACATACTTCGACGAAGGTGTGAGATCTGCCAAACGACAGCAGCTGCAAGAGAAATTATTGCAAGTAATGCACATATCGATAACTTGTGATTATATTGTACTTGAGACCTGTCACTTATGTTTGTCTGTCTTAGCACATGTCGCGTGAAAACCTTGAGACGGATTTTGCACAGCTGAAGATACTCTATTGCTAGGTACTCATTTTCTTTTTTCCACTTATCCAGCTTGTTCAACCAGCTTTCCAAGATGTGCTTGGACACATGAGATCTGGAACACTTGATAACTTCAAGGTTGCTTTTGAGAAGTCCTTGAACGCAGGAGAAGGGTTTTCTTCCGCTGCTCATGCCTGTGCTCAATCTTGCATGTCTCAGTTTGATGAAGGATGTGCCGGTATGGTTTATTGTCGACGTTGTAGTAATAATAATAATAATAATAATAATAATAATAATAATAATAATAATAATAATAATAATAATAATAATAATAATAATAATAATAATAATAATAATAATAATAATAATAATAATAATAATAATAATAATAATAATAATAATAATAATAATAATAATAATAATAATAATAATAATAATAATAATAATAATAATAATAATAATCATCATCATAATAATAATCATAATAATGATGATGATGATGATGATGATGTGCAGTATAGGATAAAATGATGGAGAGCTTAGAATATCAAGAAACATTACATGATATCCGAGATTTGAAGGAGCCATAAAACTTTCTTTTCACATTTTACGAAAAATATACACGGTTATGTTCTCCTGCAGATGTTGTCATTGAGCAAGCAAACTGGGATACATCTAAAACTCGGGAAAAGCTTTGGCGTGATATTGATGCTCATATTGCATCTGTTCGTGCAGCAAAGCTGTCTGAACTGACTACACTGTATGAGGTACTTTTGAGTACCTTAAGATTTCCTTGATTATGTACTGTTGGAAATTCCATTCCCTTACTAATAGAGATAGCTGTGTTTTGCAGTCGAAACTGAATGAAGCATTGTCTGGACCTGTGGAAGCTCTCTTAGATGGAGCTCATGATGAAACATGGCCATCAATAAGAATGCTACTGAGAAGGGAAACAGAATTGGCTGTCTTTGGCCTCTCTGATGCATTATCTGGTTTTGACATGGACGAAGAATCAAAGAGTAGAATGCTGAGTGCCCTTGAGAACTATGCATGTGGTATTGTTGAAGCCAAGGCAAAGGAAGAAGCTGGAAGGGTGTTGATGCGGATGAAGGACAGGTAATGATGCTATGCCGGTATTTTACCGTTTTTCTCGTTTAAAATAGTTTCATCTTTTCTAATACCACTTGCCGATTAAACAAAAACTTCTACCCAGATTTGCAACAATCTTCAGCCACGATGCTGATTCAATGCCACGTGTATGGACCGGGAAGGAAGACATCAGAGCAATCACTAAGATGGCCCGTTCTTCGGTATTGCATCTCCCTGATATAGCAAACCTTTGCAGTATCTATTTTTTTTTAATCTGATTTCCAGTCTCATGTGAAGTAAATTTTAACCTTGTTTGCTTATTCTAGTCCTTGAAGCTGTTGTCTGTCATGGCTGTAACCCGGTTGGATGATGAACCTGATAATATTGAGAAGACATTGTCACGTGCTTTTGTCGATTCTTCGAACAACAACGCTGCTAGCACAAGCATTACCACATTTGATCCACTCGCTTCAAGTACTTGGGAGCAGGTGAGTAGAATCTGAACTCACTATCTATTTCAAGAAAACCAACATAGAGACATGTTTTCATAACAAATTCTTTTGTTCAGGTTCCACAATCAAAGACATTGATCACTCCTGTCCAATGTAAATCGTTGTGGAGGCAATTCAAAACCGAGACACAGTATACTGTTACACAAGCCATTTCTGCTCAGGCAATGATTTTCCTACTTTCAGACATGTTTTTGGCCTCAATGCTTGCAGGCTACTAGATTTTTTTTTTTGGAATGGTAGTAAAAACGAAGTTTGAATCCATTCTAATGTTATTCTTCCTGGTTTCAGGAAGCTAACCGGCGGAATAACAACTGGTTACCGCCTCCATGGGCAATCCTTGCACTGGTTGTTCTGGGATTCAATGAATTTATGACTCTCTTAAGGTAGTACTCTCTCTGTTCTTTTGAGACTGGCTCGGTTTTTCATCTATAGGATTCTATTCACATTGGCTTTTCTCTTTGCAGAAATCCTTTGTACATTGGTTTCCTTTTCGTCGGTTATCTTATTGCCAAAGCTCTTTGGGTGCAATTAGACATTTCTGGAGAATTTCGCAATGGGGCGGTACGTCTTCTTCCATCTCTTCCATTTCACGTGACAATGAAGCAGATTTTTCTGTTTCCTATTGAATTATAGGTTATCACATCTCAGATTCTCAAAGGAAAAAAGCACTATAATGTAAACATGTAGGTTCGACAGGAAAAACTTGCTTTATTCCATACATACTCTCCTTAGTTGATCAAGAACAACAGGAAAAGAAAATGATTTAGTTTGTCGATGATTCATCTTCATCAAATGCTTGTATTTTCCATCATGAAATTTCCTGATCACCACTTTTTTGTTTCCTCTGGTCTTCCCTTGTTGTTGTTATCTCTTCTGAGATGCAGCTACCTGGGCTTATCTCCATATCAACCAAGTTACTTCCCACTGTCATGAACCTTCTCAAAAAGCTCGCGGAAGAAGGACAAGCTCCACCAATGAATCCTCAAACTCAGTCCAAGGTTACAACTAACGGCGTCAGTAGCAGCGTCGGTTCGTCCTCGTCAAGCGGCATCTCGACAGAAACAGTTTCCGACCACACGAAAGATGACTAGACAAGGCGAGCGTTCACCCATTAAGATGAGATTTCGAATCTTCGTTCCCTCCAAAAGGGTGCCTCTCTTTCGTGAATACAAGACTTCGAATCGTCATCCCCTCCAAAAGGGTACCTCCCTTTCAGTATGATCCGGGAGATCCAGAGCGTTTTGATCTGAGAGAGACATATTTTCATCTCCCGAGGCATCGGTTTTTACTGCAGATGCTGGGGGGTGGGGAATAGATACTGTTTTTTCTGTACCGATGTGGTTTTATTGTATCTGAGGAAAGAATGTTCCTGTAAGAAACGGGGGTTCGGTTTTGTGTGTTCCAACTTCCAAGATTTCTGTTGCAGATGCGGTTTCTTGTGTCTCAAGAAAGTACATTCTTGAAGAAACCTGTTTGAGTTTTGTTTTGTCAACTTGAGATTTTTTTGTCTATGAACATTGACGGCCCTGGCGGTGGCGTGTGTATATATATATAACACAAACCTTATCTGGCAACTATTGGTTTTGCGTATGGATCATAGTTTCCTGACATAAAAGGAGATCTAAACATGTCTGTTTTAAACCCAAGTGATTCTGCAATCGAAGGCCAACACGTTCGTGTCTTTCGCTTGGAAATCTCTTCAACGGGCTTCACGTCATCGATAATAAAACCCGACTTCACACATTTGCCATTGTTGATGAATCTTGAAGCTGGGTGGAGCCACCGGATATCTTCTTGTAAGTGAACGGTGCTGTTGTTGTGGCTGTCTGCTCGTGTTGCAGATGATCTGGCGTCGACTGATTCAGACCACAAGAACTCGATTCTTGAATCTGAATGTGCGGTTCTTGACGGTCGGATCTTGAACTCGAATCAATTGGGTTTTTTCTCGTGTTCTTTATGCCAGTACCCGAAATTGCGAATCTGGCTCAGATTGAATGCGTCATTCGAAATTCCAGGATGGAAAAAATGTGATCCAAGTTTCAGACTTTAATTTCTCCTTTTAAAATCACATTAAATATAGATCCTGTATGAAATATAATATAATATATATATATAATATGTTTCAAAATTCTATCTTATGTAAGCTTTCGTGAAGTTATCTAAAGAATATTCCCTTTTTTTTTCCTTATCAGAGGGCCCATTATAGTAGTTTCACAACTTATTTTAAGAATAATTATTTCAATATTTTCTACCATAATGTTATATGATATTATTTGTGGTCTTTACGTATAGGAACCTATGGTGGAAGACAACCAGTTTCATCAATCATTCAGCAACTTTTGACAAATATTTACATGGAAATTAGAAAAGCTATCTCACACTTGCAGAAAATGACCAATACACAAATGGGACAATAATAGCCGTAGGGAGGACAAAAAGAAAAGCTAAAAAGCTGAATTTCAAGAAATTAAATAATATCTACCTATATATATGTATATATATATATATATATATATATTCATTGGAACGTGTCTTACACATGTGTAGAGCACTGCCACCAAGCAAAAAGCGATATATATATATATATATATATATAATGGTTCGATATTTCTATTGGAACATGAAAATAAAAATAAATTTAAAATTGAATAATATATAAATATTTACTAAAAAGCAATTTAAAATTATTTAAAAAAAAATCAAATTAAGTTGTCCCATAAATCCTACCTAACAATTTTCCCCCACGTGATACGCACAAAAAAACGAATATTTTTATATTCGAGTTGACCGCGTGCAGCTTATTTTTTGCATGGTGAAAAAACGTAACCAATTCATACACATCAATATATTCATTAATTAATTTCCGTATAGATTAATTTGCAACATGCTAATTCTCCTTTTTAGAGGATATTATTAATTCAACTATTATGAAGGAAACAAAAAAAAAGGTTATAGAAGATACAAGAAAACAAAAACATATATATATAGACACATATATGTGTATACATATTCATGTATATAAAGATGACCTAACTTTGCCATAGGTTTTGTGAGTGGCTATGCTCCTCAGAAGCATTGCCGTCGAGACAGTCTCCAAGACCGGCAAAACTGAGAATGTCGCTATGATACAATGGCCTAAGCCCCAAGAAATCTCTCGTCAACCCTTCTCCTACTCCTCCACCGCCGTTCTTCTCTCCGGCCACCGGAACCGCCACCCCCGCCGCCGCGCTTGTCCCCAAGAACCCACCGAAGCTCTCTTCGAAGGCTTCTCCCCGACCGAATCCGGCAGCGGAATCCATCGAGTTGTAGTCTTGAAACATAGACGGGTTGTCGCTGTTTCCGCCGGCGAAGCCGAACCCAGGTGGCGGCGTAGCCGATGATGTCATCATCGACGCCATTGTCGTGGTGAGGTTATGACTCGACCTGACCACGTCGGTCGGAGAAGGAGCTGAGTTCGTAGCACCCATTTGAGCCGCTTTCTGGAGCAACGCGGTGGCGGACATGGCCGGAGACGGCGGAGAAGGGTGGTGGAAGCAGGCGGCCGTCGCGGTGGCTGAACCAAAAGGGAAAAAACCGCAGCCGCTAGGGTTAGGGTTAGGGTTTGAGGGTGAGAGCCAGTGAGGGATCATGATTTGGTTTACGTCGCTTTGTTGCTCTTTCTTCATGGGAAATGCATGGGGATTGTTGTTGTTACTGCAGGTACTGCTGCTGCTACTGCCATTGTTGCGAGCGCCATAGCTCCCGAGGCTCTGAATGTGAAGGCTGATTAGGTTCTGAGAGGAGGAAGAAGAAGATGCATTGTTGGGTGGAGTCTGATGACGAGGAGATTGGATCAAGGGAGTGTTTGGCTGCTGGGTTTGGATTGATCTCACACTTTCTTCTGCCAATGCATCACAGAATGCTCTGTGAGTTATGAAACTATCCCTCCTGTCCACAAAAACACGATCGAATATATTAAAAGAAACGTAAAATATAAACTCTAATTAATAATATTCTATCTAATTCGCAATAATATACATTTAACATGTGTAATGTACGTTTAAAAAGCAATGCATGATATGTGAATGAGAAATAATGAAAATACAAGTTATAATCGAGATTTTTCAAGTTCAAAGCAGATGAGTGAGATGTTACACACACATATATACACACATTATACATATTGTATTTTGTATATGTGTGTAAGACGAATGATTAATGCAATAAATGCAACCATCATGAGGAGCTCTAACAACAAAAAAGAATAATGGACAGTCCCCAACAATTTAAATGAAGATTCTTTGAGCTATCGCCACTCTTGTCCTCTTCAATTAAATGAGAACACACTCGTTTATATATATATATATATATATACATACACATGTACCCAACAGATGATGTTTTCGTACGCAATGCCCATCTGTCTGTCCAATTCATGTGACAACACTCCTCGTTTTCATTATCAACTCACATATCATAATCATATTATATAGTCTGGTTAATTAAGACATCTAAATCAGATTAATCCGACGACTACAGTTACATGCATGTACATCATCGTGTGTGAATGAGAATGCGCAGTGTCAGATCCACGTGCGGGACAAGTGGCATAATGTAGTATAATTAGAGAGAATTTAAATTATATATTAAGTAAATATGTGAAGGGTTAAAATTAAATGGAATATTGGGTCGTGAATATACCTTGAAAAAAGGGTGCCGCAGTCACATCTGTACTCTTTGGTGCCGCAAATCTTAGAATGGGCCTTCCAATCTGACTGAACGGCATACCTCTTCGAACACTTGTCGCATTTCCACCTCTTCTCGCCATGTTTCCTGCTG